TCCACGCAGTGCGTGAAGAATTATAAGTCAATCTCATTGTTTTATTATTACTTCTTTTACAAACTTATTTCTAAAAAATCTCATTTTTTTTCAAACTAGGTACATTTTTATTTGTTCAAGATTCTAATTTTATTTGGGAATTTAAGAACTTGTTTATTACTAGGTTTAGTGAAAAAATCTGTTTTTTTGACTATCTAAAGGCAACTTCAGGTGGCTTAGGTATACGAAGTAGTGGTAGTGGTTCGCCAAGTTCCCTTTCTCGTTGTCTATTACAGCGAAGTGATTCTGATTCAGATGACATTCGCCGAATTCGTGCTTCTCAGCGCAGGTTTAGAAGAGGTCGTGGGCCACATGCTTATACTACAGGTCTGTCTCCGTTAAAATTTTCTGTTTTCAAGTGTTTTTACGTATTTCCACTGTGCGGTTCCTCATATAAGTCATTTTTTTTTTGTTAAATTTCCATAGTCGTGTATAATTTGCTATTCTAGACGACTTCAAGAGCTTTTGGCTGTTAAATTCGATTTCAAGACTGGGAAAATTTGTGCAGGGGGCCTGAAATATGAATAGTTCTTCGGTGTTAAAGTTACACCTGTTTTCCAGCAATTGTTTTATAATTGTATTTAAAAGAGAATTGTAGAGGAAGGCAGTTTGAAAACTGGAGGCATGCTTTGAAAAGTATCAGTATTTGGAACGCTTTAATCTGGTTTAAGTGTATATTATTAGTTAGGCTTCATAGATATATTCAAAGTAATGTGGTGAAATCAGCAGTGTCAGGAGACAAGTTACGGAGACAAGTTTTTTAATTAACGCTTTATGTGTGCTGGCTGTACGTTAGTTAGAGATGGAAGAACTGAATGGCATGGAAGTTGTTACCATTGATTAAAAAGTGTTTCAATCATTTGTTTTTTCGTTTATACGCTTGAGTTTCATAATATGAATTAATCGCATTATGGGCAGTTCTTTTTGGGGAGTCATCAACCGATTGATCACTGGTTTTAGTCATAATCCCTTTCATAGCCTCCATCTGTCGCTTATTTTACTCACGTTACTGCTCAGTTTAAGGCTAAATTAGAAAAGATGCCATTTACTTTTTGTCATATAATTTTTTTACCATGTAGTAACTCGAATTTTCATCATGTAGGGATGGATGTAAATGGTAATAGTTTCCGTTGAGAGACGGTTGAGCCTGTTGCTCATGTAACCGTCTCACAACTTTTTTTTCTGCTTATTTTTTTTTTTGTTTAACACATTCTGCTTTGTTATTGTATTTCCGCGAAATGAAAAACTTTTCTGCTCCTCTCAGTTCTTTTTTTTGCAAATGAATATCAAGTAACAGTTTAGCTATTTGAAAAACTGCTTGGTTTTGGTTTATTTGGGGATTTTACTTCAGAGTTCTCCGTATTAGTCGCTATATTTTACTCAGCAGCATGTGAAGTTTTTTGTTTTAAGGTTTTATAGGATGTTATGAAACTATTATCATAATTTGTCCTGTAACTTATTACTTTTATTCTTTCATATATTTATACTTCTGCAAAAAGGGATTTAGTTACAAGGAAGTTATTTGTCACAGTTTTTTACTGGGAAAGAATTGCATTAATTTCCCGAAATTATAACTTTCTAGTTTTTTGCTTTTAGGACTCGTCTTTTGAATCCTCCATCATTTCTTGTTTCGAATTACTTCTCTTTTTTTTTCGTTTAAACAAAAGTGAGATATGACTATATTTTCAATTTCTTAAAAGGAGACGAATCATAAATACTTCTTAGCGTTTCCTCAACGAGTAGGGTGCTTTTTTTTGCGGGGAAGTAGTTCGGTTGGAATTTAAACAACGTTTACTGAATCTACTGCTTAACTCTTCTTTAATTTGACAAAGAATGGGTAAAAATTCATCAGATTGGTCTTAAAAGATTTTTTAAAGTGAGATTCATTTTGGTTTGATAGAATGCGGCTTTAATTTTAAGTTATGATGTATAGTTTCAAAAAAAGGCCACATTGCATAGGAGTTTCGAACTAATTTGAATTTTCTTGTAGTTTAAAGTTCTTTGTAAAAAATTTTAAATTACAAGTTCTATGTGTAGTAGCAAACGCCACGCGGATCTCATCACTAGAATACACTTAGAGGCATGAAGACTGGCCTCAATGGATGGCATTTTTGGAGCCTTCTGCTGAGTTCGTTGTTATAAAATGAATTTTTCTTTTGTCATCGTCAACATTAGCCTTATGATTTCGGGAATTTCTGTAGCTGTTGGCAAGAGCGGTTATGAGAATAAGTGAACTTTTAATTTTTAATAAAAAAAGAGGTTTAGAAGGAAGTTTCTTCATTTTTGAAAAGATGGGCAGCTAGTTTTTGGACTGTTTCTCTCATATTAATAAAAATTTTTTGTTATCTTTGCGGGTATATCAAATAACCTATTACTGGGAGGATTGAAATGACTTCTTAAAACTCATTTTTATTTTAGGTTTGGAAGGCTACTAATAGTTATTCTTCAGTTTAAGTGTTTAAAAACTCGGCTTGACATGGTTTAGCGTTCGCTTTATACTTTTTTCTAATAGAGTTTTTATATTTGTGCGTTTTTTTTTTTTGCCATTCCTTTTATTTCACTCTCACGACGACGTAGTATTAATAGAATTCAACTCTTTGATTCGAAGTAAGGTACGGTTTCTGAGTAGTTTAGTGATGCAGGCTTATATTCTTTGTAAGTTTTGTTATTGCGCATCTTAATTATTCGAACCTCTCTTTTAAATGATAGACCTTTTAATGCTACCCAGAAACAAGACGGGTTTCATCGAAGTAAAGCTTTGCGTTGAGAAGCTTTTTTCGTTTAAAGTTTTGGGATTATATTGTATCCTGTTTATTTTGTGCCTTAAACTACTTACATAGCTTTCACTCTCAGTTTTAGCGGTACGGACAGGGTTCTACAGGTTAAAGTGCTGCCTTTTTTTGCCGTTTAGTCTTCTTTCTCAGCCTCGATAGTGTATCACAGAACTTTCCTTCTCTTTTTGTCTTTTTGATCGATTCAGAGTATATGATGTAAAGACGTTCTTCATGAATCTGAACATTTGCTTTTAACTATACAGTGGCTCTGTGACGAGGCTACAGTGTTTTTAGTCAAATTTTTTTTCAATTACTGTAGGTTTATTAACAAGTAATTGATTGGATAATTAAAATCTATAATTAAAATCAGGTTGAGTAATGTTCAGTTTTGGAGAACTTTCGCATTATGAATAATATTCTTTGTTTTATTTAATTGGTTCAGTAGGATGTCACTAAAGTTACTTTTGCATTGTTTCTGATATTTATTGTTTGGGCCATGTATTTTTCGTTTGAGTGGTTTAAGAGGAAACTGGTTCGGAAGATATCTGTTGTTAAACTGAAAAAAGTGTCCTAACTTTTAGGGTTTTTGTTTTAGCAGTTTTTTGTTTATCTTTTCTTGGTTACACTTTATTTGCTGTTCAGGACTACATAGTCAAACTTCTGTGGATTCCTCATATTCGGGCCATACGTCATCAGGAAATTTAGTTAGACTACGACATACATCACTCGGCCATTCAGATCCGCAGATTTCCAATTCTTCTTCTTCATTTACAGGATCTCCTCTTACGTCTGCCCCAGTGCGACTTCGGGTACCAATATTTGATTGGCTTTTTTTACCCCACATTTTTTGAATTTTATTTCTCCCTGATTCTTCAAAAAATATGTCTCGTGTTAATTTTGTAGTTTGTTTCTTAATTTTTTTAATAACTTTCTTAATGGTATTATAATTTTTTTCGCTTATGCTGCTATAAGCTATCACTTGCACTGCTACTCAGTTTTAAAGTTTTTATGAGGAATTCTCAATATTTTGTCTTTTTTTGGGTTTTTTATATAACATCAATAACACTACACGCGTTATTCCATTTCTTTATTGCGATATTAATACTCTTTGACCTAGTTTCATAATGAATAGATAGTTCTTTTTGTTATTTTCAAATACTTCTTGCTAAAAACATGCAATAGTTTCTGGAGGGATCTTCCAGCCCTGGCTGGCTTCTTTCTCCGCAATTGCAAGACTGCATAAGAAAAAAAGCAGTGTTGAAATAAAAACGAAAGCAAGTGTTAATTAGGAGAAGTAAGGTTAGTTGTTGCTAGCATTTTTGTTGGCCGCTAAATGCGTTATACTTTGGTTTTGTCTGCGGTTTTGATTAATATAACTTACGCAATGACACCTGAGCTTCAAATGTTGGTGCACTGCTGACAAGACAGCTCTCATCATGCAGTGTGTGTTTAAAAGCATTATTTTTGAATATTGCATCTTCGAGATGTTATTGCATATCCGGCGTTTTGCCACAATCTCTCTGCATGCGTTCGTTTCCATTATGCCCTTTCTCGGCTTTTGCTGTGCTTCATTCATTTTGATTTCACTCTTTTTCTAATGACATTTTACGCGCCGTTTCTAGGCTAGCTATTATTCTGCTATTAATCCTTTTGTTACTGGATTCAAAAAATTTAGTTCTACGTCATGTCAAACGGCTTCACGGAGTCCTGATTGTATTTTCACTTAACATCATCTGTTTTTTATGACCAAGCAGCTTGATAATTTTTATTTGAATGGTTGATTTTTAGCATTTGCACTTTCAGTTATAACTGACTGATATTTCAAGTTATAACCTTTTAATATATAGTCAAACTTTACTGGATCTTCCAATTTGTGGTAGAAGCTCATTCGCAAGGCTAATGTGATGTCCACTCAAAATACTCGCAGTCGCCGTTATTCCTTTCCTGCTGTTTTTGTACCTCATGGACCAGTTTCAAGACAAAGTTTATTACCATTAGCTCGTCCTATACAGGCCAGATCTCATTCATCGCATGTAGGTCGTTCTTCATCAAAGCCTGCTCAGAAATTTCTTCATCCAGAAATCCCTTATCGTGGTGAAAGGCATTTTTCGTTCAATTCATCACAGACAATGTTTGGTCAGTGCAGTAATTTGCTTCAACCTCATCCTGCTTCCTTGACGCAACTGCGAAGCCTCTCCCGGACTTCCTCTTTCCTAAATATATTTAACGAAAGTTCTGGTAATGGTACATATAGACGCAGGAGGACGTGTTCAGTCAGCTCAAACGCTCTGCGCGAACTGAAGGTTAAATTTTTTGGCACTTAGAAGACTATTATAGGCTGGATGCATTATAGCGATACATTCCGTGAAAGATTTATGTGGTGTTGATTTGGATGCGTATACAGTCTGTTGTGCCATCGAAGTGAATCTCTGGTTATAGTTTTAAAGAATTTTTGCTTCTGTTTTGCTGCTACTACTGCGGGCAATTTTCAAAGTGATTAAGCTTTCTGAAGATTTAAAATTTCTGTCATCTGCTCTTGTTTTTTGTTCTTTGGTTTCTTTGATTACTTGGAAATTGTTTGTCAGTAAGAATAATTTCTTTATTTCTAGCTTCTCTTACTTGAGTAAATTGCATCGGCATTGTAGATTACTGGTTCTTAAAAAACTGTAGTAAATTATGCGAAGTGAAGCAAAAGCACATAGAATACTATGGCGTTTATTTCTGGTTAAAAATGCTTTATTGGCTTATCTGAAGGGTTTTTTGTGTTTAAAAACTGTCAGTTAGTTTTCAGGACGTAGTGCAGTATAACTTCTTGTAGGGCTAAGTACAGAGAAATATGTTTCCCAATTTTTTAAAGAGACGGTAGGAAATTGGTATTTGTTGTGATTTTATTTTCATTTTTTCGATGACATTTAACATGGTGAGATTCTGAAAAGTCGATGTATTTTGGAGTTTAGTTGTAAGGTTTGGGTTTGAATAAGTTATTTGTCGTTGGAGATCCTTCATCTATTGTTACTTGGAAACGATCATTTTCATTCTTTATTGTTTCTTGAGTTTGCTTTGATTTAAAGGATTTGCCTAATTTTTTTAACAAGCAAGGTAATTTTCATTTTAAAAAATTTTTTCAACAGGTGTTACGCTGCAGATCTGTTCTAATTGGTGGCGAACTTACTAGTTTTCTTGAGAGTAAAGGTTTTTCAGTTCTCGTTACCCTACTCTTTATGTTAATTTTTGGGATGCTTCTAAACATGTAAAGTAGAAAGCAACATCACTGTTATTAATGTTCTAACCGAATATAATGGGAAAAATTAATGTGCGCTTTGGTATTTATGTTTGTTATGCAGTAGATTTGAGGTGGATAACGATTATTTAACGGTTAGTTGAAATCACAATCTATGGATGGATGTAACTGCTTGGTAAATTGGGAGAAAATAATTTGGTATCGTGCTTTAACAGCTTTATTCGGTAGGGAACTAAAAACTTGTGAACAACATTTTAATCATCTCTTCACTTTAACGTAGGTTTAACATTTATCTTTCTTTTAGAATTTCATGTGTGAAGCGGTGCGAACGGACTTTGAAAACAAGGTTTATTTTAGAATTTCAGCAGTTGAGCAATAAATTTAAGGCCATTAAGGGATATTTGCTAAGCCTAATAAATTAGCTCATTTTAAAGCAGCATCTTGTTATTAGTTATTTGTGTCATCGGTCGTCTCCTGTCTCTAGTTTTACGAAAACAAGTCATGTGGAAAATTCGTAGAGCTGCTAATTTTTTGATAGTCTGCTGCACCAAACAGTTCATTAGACGCTTTATATTAAAAAAGTTTAAATATAGGTGCAAGTCTTATTAGATTACTAATTTTTGCTGTAATTTGGGCAGTTTAGTTTACGGTAGTTCACGACTCTCGTTTTTGACTTGCAATTTCGTGGAAACGGAGAACAAAGCTTTTTGATTAATCACTTCTCACAGAGCTTTAATGTTAAGAAGAAAAATCAAATAATTATAAATTACTGGAAAAGAAAACAGCATTTTTATGGCAAGTTAGCTAAACGATATCAATGTTGACGCGTTATTATATATTTTTTTCAAACAGGAAGCGGGTCAAAGACTGGCCGCAGGACGTTCTGCATGTTGTAGTTTGAGCTCTTCAACATCACCGATGATCATTCAGCGAAGTCGATCTCCAGTTCGTTCGGTGTTACCGTCCAACAGTGGGGCTGCGGCTGCTGCGAAACTGTATGGAGTGCCTTTGAGGTACTGGTTAATCGTTGGTCTGCATTTCATATTTCTGTAACCTCTTGTGAATTGCTGGTCTTGGCTTTTACTCTTAACGGTAGTGAGATTTTTGTTAATTGTTTGCGAATTTTTTGAAAAAAGATCAAAACTAATATTACAGTTAAGGATGCATCTTCTTTTATTTACTATGTTTTGACCTATAACTGATTTTCAAATAAATGCGAGTTTTATTTGAGAGGTAACACTGCAAAAGGTGGTTCGTCCTTGGCGCCAAGTGTTGATAACAGAAGGTGGTCTGTGGCTTCTCTGCCGTCGTCTAGCGGCTACGGAACACCTGGCAGTAATTCGGCATTTTCGGTTGGTATTAGAAGGGTTTAAGTAAAGGAGCTTCTAGAAGAATGAGTCATTTTTTTTCTGTAATGGTTCGGATTACTTTTTTTATTCTAATGTATTGGCTTTAATTTCGTCAGCTGTTTTAATTCTTTTTTGGTCTTTTATCTTTATAGACTAGCATCATCTTTAATGTGGGTTTTTTCTTAGAGCGAATACTCTTCACAAGAACAATTATGTGAGGCACTAGGGGACTTAAGGATGGCACCTCGCTTTGATAGTAACGATAGTTACGCAGAAGAAACTCCGCAACATATTCGTCCACGATCGCGTAGTTTGACGTATGAATGCTATATTCTTTATAGCGTTTTATGTTAAAGATTTATTTTACAATGTTTATTAATCGGATTTCAATTCACTTTTTCTGAGGCAGTTTTTCCGCTTACTATTGTAATTTCTTTCAATAATTGTCAAGGAAGTTCTACGTTTGCTGGAAGCTATTTCGCTGAAGTACCGATTTTTTCAGGAGTCCTGTCGCGTTTGACTGTGATCTTAACTGTGATACAACATTACGAAGTACTGTTTATAAGGAACGTTTTCCCAAGGTTAGTCGTGTGGTAATTTTGACTAGTGCAAAGAATTTTTTTATCTTTTTTTTTTGTTTACAGGCTAAGCAACAAATGGAGGAACGTTTGGCTCAGTTTTTAGACGAACATGCTCCCCTCTCAGGCTCGTCTGTTGTAGAATCTTCTAGTACTTCTAGACCGTCTTCTCCGCTAGTTGGAGGACTTTCAATCAATTCGTCAACTTATTCTCAAATTCATTCGTCATCACTTTCTGTCGCTGGTCAGTCTGCGGTGGATCCGAATATTTTTCGTCTAATTTCGGATGGCGCAACTCGATTTATACATCATCAGATCGTTGAAATTGCTTCTGGTGAGTATCTCTGCAGATTATGTTGAAGATATTTGAAAGATGTACTATAATTTTTCCTTGTTTCGGAATGGTTTTCATACGCTTGAAAATAGTATTCATCGCTACATCGTGCTTCAGAACTCCTTTAAACTGAATGGTTTTTTTTAGATTGCCTAGCCAAATCTAAAGAAGACCTTATTACCTGCGCGTACTTTTGTGAAATGTCTCAAAGGCTAGAAAATATTCTGAGTGAGGCTCAGGAGAAGACTAATGCAGCATCTTTTGCTTACTTATCAAAGATAGTTCGCTCCCTGCTTATGATTGTTTCTCGGCCGGCTAGACTTCTAGAATGTCTTGTAATAAATGTTTTTACTTGCTAGTTATAGTTTTTGTTTTTTTTTTAATTTTAATTTCGTATTCTATTTATTGACTTTCCTTATACAAAATATCAAATAATAGGAATTTGATCCCGACGAATTTTATCAGCTATTGGAAGAAACAGAGGGTGCAGTTCGTGAGCAGCTCGGCGCGGGTAACGCTAGAGTGCCTGATTTGCCACAGTATATAATAAGCAAATTAGGTTTAGACAGAGACCCTTTAGTTGAGATGGATCCAGATTTGTTTGAAGTGAGCCATTTTAAAACTTTTGAGCTTTTTTTAGCAGTACTTCACTGACAAATTTTTGATTTGCTGCGTATACGAAAGCTCTGTAGGCCGAACCCTTGCCTTCTACCAACACCTCGTTTGACAATAGTGATTCACGGATTCAAACTTGGCCAGCAGACAACAAACCGCCTCGAGAAGATGATTTTGAAGTTATTCGGGTAAGGCTGATTACCTCTTTTTAGCAATGTAGGTCTTTTATATAGTTGTTGGAAAATTTCTACTTTTTTGAGAACGTCATTTTTTGAAAGCAAGCGACTTTACTCTTCCAGTCGGTTGTTATTTCAGCTTATTAGTAACGGCGCTTATGGCGCTGTCTATCTAGTGCGTCATCGGGAAACCAGGCAACGATTTGCACTCAAGAAAATGAATAAGCATACACTTGTTATGCGAAATCAAGTTGATCAGGTCTGGTATTGCTGTTATCTTTTTGTAATTTTTTTAATTTGTGCTTTTATTTTAAATTTAGTACGAGTAATTTTATTAAGGTTTACGCAGAAAGAGATATTCTTACTTTTACTGATAATCCGTTCGTCGTATCTTTTTACGGTTCTTTCGAAACGCGACAACATCTTTGCATGTTAATGGAGTATGTGGAAGGCGGTGATTGCGCTGCATTATTAAAGAACGCTGGAACTTTACCTTTTGATGTTGCAAGGCTTTATATTGCTGAAACGGTTTTAGCGATTGATTATCTTCATTCGTATGGCATTGTTCATCGTGATTTGAAACCTGACAAGTACGATTCTAATTTTTTAATGTTTTTCTTTGAGTCGTTTACAGACTACTTTTTTGAAACTGAACAATTATGTGTGCTTATCACTAATCTTTTTTCCAGTTTGCTTATCACTGCAATGGGACATATCAAGCTTACTGATTTTGGTCTTTCTAAAATTGGCTTAATGAATCGGACCACGCTTGTATGTGAAGGGTATTTAGACGTAGCTGATACACAGCAATTTAAAGATAAACAACTTTGTGGCACACCTGAATACATTGCACCCGAAGTAATTCTGCGTCAAGGATATGGTTTGTTATTTCTACAGTGAATGAAGAAATTTTTGTTGTTTGATGAGGGTGGACGGCGTGAGAAAAAAAAACAGTTTTTGAAGGAGTTTATGTTTATAGGCAAACCGGTGGATTGGTGGGCATTAGGGATAATACTCTATGAATTCCTGATTGGTATTGTTCCATTCTTAGGCGAAACTCCAGAGGAACTTTTTGCAAATATCATTGGAGGTTTGCTGTTTGTTCTTCAGTTCATTTTATTTTATTTATAATGTCCTTCAAAAATCTTTGTTTTCAGAAGATATTGAGTTTCCTGAGGGTGAGGAAGCGCTTCCTAATGAAGCAGAGTCTTTAATAATTCAGTTGTTAGAGAAGAATCCTGCCCATCGTCTAGGCACTTTGGGTGGGGCGCAGCAAGTATGTTTGGTATTTTTCATAGGATTTTTATCTTTTGTCGTTATAACGGTATTGTTTTAAACATTATTTTTTTGTCAAGTGGTTCCTTTACAGATTAGTACTGAACCCTTCTTTGCCCATTTGGATTTTCGGTATTTGTTACGCCAGAAAGCGGAATTTATTCCCCGATTGGAAAATGAAGAAGATACGTCATTCTTTGACACTAGAACTGACAGGTTATACTAGTTACTGTATTACATGTACTGATGCGTTGCCAATTATTGCCGAGTGTAGGCATAAACAGTTCTTCTCAAATGCTTTTACGCATGCTAAAGATTTGTGGATTTTTTGTATACGTAGACCTAACAACAAGTTCTATGAATTGAGCAGAGGGCTGCGAGCTACTGTTTGTTCATTTTCTGCGCTTTTGAGCTCTGCATAGTGGCGAAATTTGGTCAACTTTTTCGTTAACCGATTTTATTCCTGATTTTTAAAAACATAATACTGTACTTGTTATCCTTTGGTTCATAATCTGTTTTCTTTGGCAGCATGTTATTTATTAGTGGCGTGTATCCGGTTTTTTCTGGTGAACAAATTATAAGAGTGTTAGGGAGGAAGTATATAGGAAGTAGGCTCGATAGAGTGAAAGCTTTTAAGGTACAACCATGATGCTGAAAGTGGTGATGACGACACCGCTCCGATGTTTGGATCTTTTAGCACAGCATCTCCGCGACATTCCATTATTGGATACGAACATGCTTCAAACCTTCAGATGTCTTGTAGTATACCTACTCAAGTGAGAATTTAAATTTTTAGATTTTTTTTAGGTGACTAGCACTTGTTTCTTGATTTTTATACCAATAAATTTAGAGTTCTTTCCCAGAGCCAGTAAGTAGGACACGAGCCGAGTCGGAATCGGTAGTTGCAAACAGATCATGTGAATTATCGGAAGGACCGTCGAGTGATTCCAAATTTGATTCGGTTGATTAGTTTTTTCTTTTTTCATACCTTTTTACTGGCTACGCGATTGCCACTTAATTTTATAGCTTTTTGATACGTTTTATATGCCGAATTTTCTTCATTTTAGGAACATTTTTTCAGGCGCTTCATTTACGCCGAAGATTTTCCGCTCAGCGTCAGACTAATTTATCGACTTCTAGCAGTGGGACAATGGGTACGGGATGCTTCAACACGGCATGTTGTTCTACTGATTCGTCTATGGATGCTTCTGTTTTGTTAGGTGATGCACCTTGTCACTCTCCTCTTTCACTTGAGGGAGCACGTCGTAATACGTCAACTCCATCTCCTCTTCCTAGGTAAAATTCATGTTTTGTTAACATTCTGATGTCATATTTCTTACTTCGTTATTGGGTGAGTTTCAAACTGTGAGTTATCCTTTATTGAATTATTGTATTGTTCCCGAGGTTGTCTTTCTCAAAATTTGTTTAGTAGGACATGCCTGAAGCTTTTGAAAGTTTCTGCCTACGTTTAAGTGCTTTTCTTGACTTCTCGCTTGTTGAAGCAAGAAATCTTTTTTACTTAGCGCAGTACTTCGCTCCTTCATTACGAGAAGTAGTTTCGAAATTCTGGCTAGTTTGAGTTTTCTAGAGTTCCTTTAGTCAAAACACAACGTAGATGCGTTCGTTTCGCATTTTGATTCTGGACGGTTCTATTCTCTGATTCCTCTTTTGATTATGTTTGCCAGCCTATTACTGCTTCTTTCCAGAAGTGAGCTAGTAGGTTTTAAATTTCAAGGTCTTTATGTTAACTTGTTAGCTGTTTTGAACGCCCATTTCGAAAGTCTGATAGCATTGAAGAAATTCACGTGTTTTTTGGTGTTGCACCTGAATATAGCACCGTTTTAAAAA